AAAAAAAAAAAAAGACAAAGAGCAAAATGATAGTCAAAGGCTTTTCATCAACTATATTATTTGCCCCCACCCTCCCTGTTTTCTCTTCTTGGCTTTATTTTTTGTTCTCATTTGCATTTTTCTCCTAGATGCTAAATAGCTCATGGTCTATATGTGAAGAAAGTTGTATAGTTTGGATGGCTGGGCTAGGACCCTGTAGACATATTGACTGTTCAATGGAAAGATTGCCACAGCTTCACAGACCATAGAATCCAGGAGCTAGAAAAATTTCACAAGATAGCTGAGTTATGGGTGCTTATATTGTAATGGACTCTTGGAATCTATAGAACAGAGTTCTAGTACCAGGTATAATACTTAGAGGCTGCATACCCTTTTGGATAAGTTATTTTACTTTTTTAAGTCTCTACTTGCTCATCTTTAAAATGAGGATGTTACCTCCTTCAGGGGTTGTCGTGAGGATTAAATGGCATAATAGATATATAAAATGATTTTAAATTATATGGCAAGTGTATGAATATAACGAGGTAGTAATACTGGCTTCCTGTTCCAAGCCACAGTCAAAACAGATGGCTGCCTTGATAAAACTATGGTCTTCCATGGGTTGAGCAAGGTATTCTTTGGGCATTAATTTTTTTATCTGTCAGATAAGATGTCAGGCGAGGTGATCTCTAGATCTTAAGTGTACACTGTCACTTTGTCATTTACTTAAAATGCAAAGAACAAAATAGAATGGAAAATATTTGTGCTCATAATAAAGGTCCATCATAGAATTTCCTGTTTAGCTCACAGTTACCTTCCAAAATAAGAATGAAAGGGCCTCAAGTAACACCTCTTGCCTACCTAAGACCTAAGATTTTGTATTAACTGTTTGCTTTTTTTTTTTTTTTGCAGTTTTTGGCTGGGGCTGGGCTTGAACCCGCCACCCCCAGTATATGGGGCCAGCACCCTATTCCTTGAGCTGCAGGCATTGCCCAAAATGTTCCTTTTAAGCTTCTTTGCTGGTCAGGGAATAATCTGAGGGGCTTCTGCTATTCCTATGACAGCAAAAAAAAAAAAAAAAAAGTTTTGGTAGTTATCTTCTTGGCACTAAGCCAAATACCTTTCACAAAATGATATATAGGAGAGACAGGTTTGGGCATTGAGGAGATTCCTCACATACTTATACTTATGGATTATTCCCTTCCAAAATATATTTGCTATAAATATATATAGACATGTTACAAGTACTTTTTGTGCTTATTGATGAATGGCGGTTTAAATTTTCATTTAATAAACATTTTAGTGAGTGTCTACTATGTGCCAGACATTATGCTAGATACTTTACATTAGTTACTAGAGATAACTTACATTATCTCTAGTTTTAATGTGACCTAAATGTCATCTGGGACTGTGCTGAGATGGAAGTACATAGAGTGGGGTTTCTTTGCCCCTTCTTTAATTTAGATATATATTATATTAACTTGAAGCATTTGTATATGCAGTAGATTTTAGTGAAAAGGAAGGATTTATTTACAGCAATATCTCATAATCACCTAAGATTCGTCCCCCTGAGCAATTCATCCCACATAGAACAATAGTCTCTCATTGATTCCTTTCCTTGTAATCTTCCCCTTACCTCTTGGATTCCTCCTGCACCCTAACTTCTCATCTGACTCAGTTATCCATAATATTTTAGTCCTTATTTCATAAGCGAACCTGGGGCTTTTGCATATCCAGACTCATTTAGATATATGCTCAGTGGGGAAAAAGACAAAAGGTGACCACTCTCAGAATTTGTCTTTCTTATAAGGCAACAGTGGTTATAAACAGTGTTTTTCTCCCTAAGAACAAATACTGTATGTGGGTTGGTACTATCCTTCGTTTTATAGATGAATAAACAAGCTCGAAGAAGTAAATGACTTATCCAGGGTTATTCATTTAGTAAATGAAAAAGTCATATTTTGAACCTAGATCCATTTGAATCAAATCCTGTGCATGTTCCACCAAACAAGACATGATTCAAGAAAGAAATTGGAAAAGATGCATGTTGAGGTCCAGGTCCTCTGAGCTTGAAAACAGGAAGATTGCTTTGAAAATTCATAGCATCTGAACCCACTTGGAGTAGGGACACATAGCTTTGCCATTATGTTTTCCAAAGGTTCTGTTTAGGAAAGATGAAAAACATAATGAGAGAAAAGTTTCAGTAATTTGAAAAATCCTATCTGATATCAATAAATGAGACTTTTATTATGGCTAATTAAATCTTATCTCTCAAAATTCACTTATACTGCGACTTTTATCTGGTATTTGTTGACCCTTTCTACCTTTTTCATCATAGTTCTTTTAAAAATAGTTTTTCTAATACCTTCTATTTTTTTTATTACAGAGGCAGTTAAAAGCAGATGCCAAAAAAGCTATTGGAAAACTTCAGCTACGCACACTAAAGCCAGGGGACAAGGTGCATTTATGACAATTTAAATGCCTTTTGTTAAAGCAATGCTAATAAGCCATGTTCAAACTAAATGTTCTTTCCAAGTATGTTTTTCATTGACATTTATAAGGCTGATTGACTTTTTAATCTTGATGCAAAAGGTAGGCCCAATGATAGCTAAGTCCTAATCCCTGGAACCTGCAAATGTTACCTTATATGGCAGGAAGGACTTTACTGATATGATTAAGTTAAAGAGCTTGAGATGGAAGATTATCCAGTTGGTCCCTAATATAATCACAATGTCCTTATAAGAGGGAGGAGGATAGAGATTTGACTAGGGTACTATAAGAGATGTGATAAAGAAAGCAAGAGGTTGGAGTGATGCAAGGAAGAGGTCACAACTGAGGAATGCACATGGCCTCTAGAAGCTGGAAACAGTAAGGAAAGGGAGTCTCCCCTGAAGCTTCTGGAAGAAGCACAGTACTGCCAATACCTTGATTTTATACTTTGGATATCTGGACAGTAAGAGAATAAAAGTTGTGTTGTTTTAAGCTACAGACTTGTAGAATATTAATGTTCTACAGCAATAAGGAGCTAATACAATGCTTTACTGCAGCTTTATTTGAACATCCGTTTTCAGATTTAGGACAGTTGAAAACTACCATCGATAGGTAAAGCATGTATAACAAAAAACAACTGTAGAACTTACCAAAATAAAAATACACCATTTACAATAGCACCAAAGCCATTTAATACTTATGTATAAATTTTAAATAATATGTATAAGATCTATATGCTTAAGACTGCAAAACACTAATGAAAGAAAGAAATCAAAGAAGACCTAAGTAAACAGAAAGATATACCATGTTCATGGGTTAGAAGACTCACTGTTTAGATGTCAGTCCTCCGAAACTAATTTATAGATGCAATGCAGTTTCAATTCCTATCCTAGTGGGATTATTTATAGAAACTTACAGGCTGATTCTAAGTTTTTATGGAAAAGCAAGAGAATTAGAATAAACAAAACAATTTTGATAAAGAGGATTAACTTTGGATGATTTGCAGAATTATTTTAAAGCTGCAGTTAGTCAAGAGGGTGTGGTATTGAGAAAGGATAGACTTATAGCAGTGGAACTGAAGAGAGAGACCAGAAATAGGCCCACATATGTGTGGTCAATTGAGTTTAATAAAAGTGCAAAAGCAATTAAATGAGTTAAGTAGAGCCTTTTCAACAGGGCAGACAATTGTTAGCTATTTATAGGCAATGACTGGATACCCATAAGCAAAAAGAAGAAAAGAATCTCTCTCAATCCATTCTTCATACACTGTGTAAAAATTAATTGATCATAGAGCTAAATGTAAAACCTAGAACTATGAAATTTTTAGAAAAAAACTTTGGAGAAAAATATTTTCATAACTTGGGTTGTATAGATATTCCTTAGATATGACACCAAAAACAAGTCCATAAAAGAAAAACATGAGAAATTTCACTTTATCAGAGCTAAGAATTTCTGCACTTTGAAAAACACTGTTAAGAGAGATAAAGACAAGGTACAAACTCAGAGAAAATATTTGCAAATCAGATATCTGCTAAAGGGCTGTGCCCTGAATATATAAAGAACTCTCAAAATTCAACAGTAGGAAAACAACCAACCTAATTAAAAAAAATGGGTAAGCAAAACAGATACTTCACCAAAGAATAAATAAATATATATTCTATATGTAGTATACACACACATATATAGGGCACGTATATATGTGTGTGTGTGTGTGTGTATACCGTGGTGTCACAGCTCACAGCAACCTCAAACTCTTGGGCTCAAGTGATTCTCTTGCCTCAGCCTCTCAAGTAGCTGGGACTATAGCTCCTGCCACAACACTCAGCTGTTTTTTAGAGACAGGGTCTTGCTCTATCTCAGGCTGGTCTTGAACTCATGAGCTCAAGCAATCTACCTGCCTCAGCTTCCCAGAGTGCCAGGACTACAGGCATGAGCCACTTCACCAAAAAAAAAAAAGTATGAATGACAAATAAGCACACAAAAAGATGCACAACATAATTAGTCGTTAGAGATACAAATTTTAAAACCACAATGAGATACCATTACACCTTCATCAGGATGGCTAAAATACCTTGAGCTGGCCAAATGTGGAGCAACTGAAACTCTCACACATTTGCTGGGAAGAAAGCAAAATGGTACAGCCACTTTGAAAAAGTTTGGCAGTTCCTTATAAGGTTAACTTAACGAAGGGGGAAATCTATATTCACCTAAAAACCTACATACGATTATTCATAGCAGTTTTATTCATAATTGTCAAAAACTAGAAAGAACCCACATGTCCTCCAACTGGTGAATGGGTAAATTGTGGTACACCCATATCTTAGTATATTATTTAGTAATTAAAGGGGGAACCCTACTAATATACACGGCAACATAGATGAATCTTGAACGCATTGTATGTATTAAGTGAGAGAAGCCAGATTCAAAAGCTACATAATAGATGATTCAAAAGCTACATAATAGATGACTCCATTTATATGACATTCTGGAAAGGCTAAAACTATAAGAACTAAAAACAGATTTGTGGTTGCCAGGGGCAGGGGTAAAAAGAAAAATTAACTACAAAGAGGTATGGGAATCTGTTCTATATCTTGATTGTGTTGGGGAATAAATGACTGTTTATGTTTGTCAAATACTGGAGAACTGAGCCCAGCATGGTGGCTCATGCCTGTAATCGTAGTGCTCTGGGAGGCAGAGGTAAGATGATTGCTTGAAGTCACAAGTTTGAGACCAGCCTGAGCAAAGAGAGACCCTGTTTCTAGTAAAAATTAAAAAAAAATTATCCAGGTGTGGTGGTAGGCCCCTGTAGTCCAGCTACTTGGGAGGCTGAGGCAGGAGGATTGCTTGAGTGCAGGAGTTTGAGGTTGCTGTGAGCTAGGCTGAGGGGATAGCATTTCTAACTTGGGCAACAGAGCAAAACTCTGTCTCAAAAAAAATGAAAAAGAGTTGTGGAACCATATAGTAAAAAAGTGAATTTTACTACATGTATGAATTAGACCTTTTAAAAAAGAAAACTGAGAAAACATAGTTATAGAACTTGTCTAAATGATATTTTATGAATGCTAAAGTCAGGAAAAATAGTTTAAATCAGTACTACATGTTTCTGTTTATTCTGTTCTTCTTTTGTTGGACTTTATTCTTTTTACCTTTTTAATTCTAAATAATCTTAAATTGTCTATTGAAACTTTACAGTTACATAGTCATTTAATGATATTCCTCCTCCTGTAGGAATTTATGCTGGTTAAACACATATGTATTCTGATCTTGCTCTGTCCTTTAATGTATTTTTTCTTATCTGTCTATCAAAGTAACAATAACTATTGGCTCTTAGGAAATTGGCCCTGATGGAGATAGTTGTGCTGTGTGTATCGAGCAGTACAGGGCAAATGATCTGGTACGCATACTAACCTGCAAGTAAGTTTCTTTCATTTTATATCATCAATAAGAATAGCTGACCCCCCAAAAGATAGTGGTGGACGAAAACTATTTTGAATGTTTCCAAATTGATGTAAGAAGTTTATTTTTAGCTTATTTTCATTTAAATACAGAATAATGCTTTATTTTTTTATTTTATTTATACCACTGAAAATGGTATCTGTCTAATTGTGGTACAACTTGTTCTAGACTAATTTCATAGAAAACTGAGAACCTAGCCAGCACAATTTATGTAAATGATGATGGGAGGGTATACCTACATATATAAAGTAGTATTAGATGATTTAATCTTAAATTCATTCTAACAGTCCCACTGAGAAAAAGTAAAATTAACTTTATGAGCAGCTATTTGGAAGTCTTCACTCTTTAGTTTTTAAAATTGTCCTACTCCTAAAGGTTGCTTTTAACACTCTTAGCTAGTAACTGTAGTAATAGTATTCTTGGAATGTATCACACTGCCCAGCAAGGTGTCCAACCCTTTTTCTGCTGCATATGGGAAGAATAAAAATTGTCTTGGGCCACACATAAATACACAAACACTAACAAATGCTTATGAGCATGAAAAAAGGTTGGTGATACTTTCCACAATATCTGATACCACAGAGAAGCAACACAGTCCTTAGGTAACCTGAATGTAGCCCCTGGGCCACAGGTTGGACATCCCTGGATCAGTCCCCTGTTATACTCAATACTTAACATTGTACTATACTGTTGAGCATGACTGTACCATTCAACAGTTAGAGAATGACAGAATAATAGTTTAAGATTTGAAATACTGACAAAATCTTAGGTCAGGTAGCATCTTAGCCATTTTCAAGTGAGTACAAAAAATAGTTGTTTTTTTTTAAAGTTAGTATAATAGGGTGTTTATATTTAAAAGTGCTGTATTATCTGCCCTTTTATACCTACTTTACTAAGAACACAAAAATGTGGATCATGTTGCACAAGAATCCTAATAACAAATTCCATTTCAAAAGCATTTGGGGTCTACGGCCATACCACCCTGAACGCGCCCTATCTCGTCAAAAGCATTGGGAGTGACTCAGAAAAGTACTGTGTTATGAAATTCCCAAGTTTTGCCTCTGTGGCTTCTTCATCATATTAATAGTGTATGTAGAAAGGCATCTATTCAGAGACTAAGTAAAGTTACCAGAGTACTCTGTTAATATACAGTATATTGAGCAAAATATTGTTGCTGTTTCACAACTGATAATTAAATGATGTGTTTTTTCCTTTGTTAGCCATATTTTCCATAAGACCTGTGTTGACCCCTGGCTGTTAGAACACCGAACTTGCCCAATGTGCAAATGTGACATCCTCAAGGCTTTGGGGATTGAGGTAAACACTGCTATCCTGGGACGGCACCTGGGGCTCAAAGGGGTAGGGCGCCGGCCCCATATGCCGGAGGTGGTGGGTTTAAACCCAGCCCTAGCCAAAAACTGCAAAAAAAACCCCCCAAACAAAAAACATTGCTATACTGTTTATAAGCAGGATATATGCCTGGGCTTTCAGGAAAATACCATCCTTATTTTTAGCTAGGAATGTACCATACTTATAGTCTGTACTTAAAACTGTATTTCCATATTTATGTCATATTTACATCATAGGGACAGGGAGGAGTTATCTTGGACCACCTCTGTTTTCCTTCTTCCCTCCCTCTCCTCAAATGTACTTTTTATTTGGTCAGAATTTAAAATGGTGACCATGCAAAGTACCAACTTAGCATTCCTCTTTGTGCTTTTTTTTTTAACCCTTACTATTACATAGTGACCAAACTTACAGTTAAATGAGCATGTATAATTTGAGAAATCATAATGCATTTTAAATTATAATTTTATATTCAGTAAATTAAAAGTGGCCTATTTTAAGATACAACAAAAAGTCAATCTCAATAAAAGTCTTCTTGACTTGAGATGTATAGATGACAGTTATTCTTACTACCCCTAGGGGACAGCATGACATTTTTTTTAGTGCCTGCCTTGTACTAGGCATCGTGTATCAAGTTCTGGGATCACCCAAATGACCATGTCAGATGTGAGGGCACTCCGCCCATAGCATCTTCCACCCCGTTGGTGGACTCAGTTACTCTAACTGTTCTGACTAGGCCAACAGCAGAATTTTATGATCATCAGAAGGGATTATAAGTTTAAAAGGTTAAGAAACATTGCTCCAGTGAGTCACCTATGAAGAACTTTATAGTACTATGTGAAGGAAAAGCATGGAATCTGAGATCCTTTTGTTTAAATGCTTTCCAAAGGTGGATGTGGAAGATGGGTCAATGTCTTTACAAGTCCCTGTTGCGAATGAAACATCTAATAGTGCCTCCTCTCATGATGAAGATAATCGCAGTGAGACCGCGTCATCTGGCTATGCCTCTGTACAGGGAGCAGACGAACCACCTCTGGAGGAACATGTGCAGTCAGCAAGTAAGCATCATACTAAGGGTTTCTGAGTGTCCTACTAATAATCTCTTATGGTCACATGCCCATCAGAGTACTCCTTTGAGACAGAGCCTCAAGCTGTCACCCTGGCTAGAGTACTGTGGCATCACAGCTCACAGTAACCTCCAAGTCTTAGGCTTAAGGGATTCTTTTGCCTCAGTCACCCAAGTACCTGGGACTATAGGCACCCACCACAATGCCTGGCTATTTTTTGGTGGTAGTTGTCATTGTTGTTTGGCAGGCCCAGGCTGGATTTGAACCCACCAGCTCCTATGTATGTATGTGGCTGGCGCCCTAGCTGCTGAGCTATAGGCGCCAAGCCAAAGAGTACTCTTGTTTTTTATTATTGGTTCCATTCAGCCATTATTGCAGTGTAGGTTTCTCCTACTTAAAATGATGCAGTGGGATCAGGATATATGATGCAGGATATACCCCAGTTAATATGCACATATTCAAATGTACCTGAAATAGATGAAATGCATCAGAAGTGGAGATTATTCTCAAAAGAAAGATCTGTTACAAAGCTTTTCTCTGATGCATTTAAATGTTGGCTTATTAACCACATACAGAGGCTAAAGAGAAACTTTAACTTCAGAAGTTATTGTTTATTGTGGCGAAATCATAAATTAAGTTAAAGGAGTCCTGAGATGATAAAATAGAATTCAGTTTACAAAAACTTGATTCACACATAACTTCCCAGGAACCCATCTTTTACAATTAGGAAACCTTTTAGGAATGGTATGTGCTGCCACCTGTTGACTATTTGTCATGAATGAAATGAACAAATCACTGGAAACTAAAATTGAAAATACTGTTTTCAAAATTCATATGAGTTAGTATTACAACTTAGTAATTTTATGCCAATGCCGAAATTTTAGGAATTTTGTCACTTCAAAGAGAAAACCCCTAAAAAGTTATTTTTCCTTTTATAAATCTCAACCTTTTCATGCTTCTTTTTTTTTTGTTTTGTTGGTTTGAAAATGTTTTTCAATTCTTATTTTAAAATAATCTAATTCTAGGCCAGGTGTGGTAGCTCACGTCTGTAATCCTAGCAATCTGGGTGGCCTTGGCCAGTGGATTGCTTAAGCCTAGAGATTCAAGACCAGGCTGAACAAGAGCAAGACCCTGTCTCTACTAAAAATAGGAAAAATCTAGCTGGGCATTGTGGCAGGTACCTCTATTTGCAGCTACTTGAGAGGCTGTGGCAAGAGGATCAAGAGTTGGAGGTTGCTGTGAGCCACGATAGCACCATGGCACTCTACCCAGGACAACAGAGTGAGACTATCTCAAAAAAAATAAAAATAAAAAGTAGGGCCAGGCGCAGTGGCTCATGCCTGTGATCCTAGCACTTGGGAGGTCGAGGGGTGGATTGCCCTGAGCTCATAGGTTCGACACCAGCCTGAGCAAGAACTAGACCTCATCTCTAAAAATAGCCAGGTGTTGTGATAGGCACCTGTAGTCCCAGCTACTTGGGAGGCTGAGGCAAGAGGATCGCTTGAGCCCAAGGGTTGGAGGTTGCTATGAGCTATGGCTCCACAGCACTCTATCGAGGGTGACAAAGTGAGACTCTGTCTCAAAAAAAAAGAGCAAAATAAAATAATGGAATTCTAGCATAAAAGTAGAAGAAAAACGAATTGTCAAGATAGCTTGTGAAAATTTCAGTTTCTGTGACGTAAACATTTGTCCTCTAAAGGCTTATCAGTTACCATAGATACCATTTCTGAAGATGTCACGAGGAATACTGCTATGCAAAAGCAAACCTTGTATTTCTTGTAATCTAATCTTCAGACATTTCCTTGAGTATAGTCATAAGAATCTTAATCATCTCTGTGGATTTTTCCACCTGTAATAGATAATCATTGTCTATTTGTCCCAGATAATCTTGTCTTGCGTAATGGTGTGGCAGTAGAATTCCGTGAAGGTAAAAGTACAGGATAATTTAATTTATTGCTAGTTTTCTCGTGTATAAAAAACAACATTCCAATGTGCCCTTTTTGTGTTCTGCTCTTATGGGCTGGATGGTGGGCAGAAGGGGGAAGCACAGTACATTTTGCAGAGAATTAGAAAAGCAAATGAAATGATGTCCATGTTCTTCCTCCTCTATTCTTTATCTGGATGAATGATAGTAACACCCACCCAGGTGTCCCAAACCAGACACTAGGGAGATCCTAGATTCTTCCTTCTTCCCCTACCTATTGATTCAACATCTGTTTCCTCAGCTCTGCGCGCCTGTGGCTTAAGTGACTAAGGCACCAGCCACATACACCTAAGGTGGTGGCTTTGAATCCAGCCCAGGCCTGCCAAACAACAATTATGGCTGCAACCAAAAAAAAAAAATAGCTGGGCATTGTGGCGGGCACCTGTGGTCCCAACTACTTGAGAGGCGGAGGCAGGAGACTCACTTGAGCCCAGGAGTT